AATACACTCCTTAAAAATCTAAAACTAACTTGCTTTGCTTATAAAATAAATGCTAAGGTTGCCCACCACTGACTTAAGGAAGCCAGCTCCAAAGATGACAGCGTTCAAAGCAGCCCTTCACATTTTATTTTTCTTCTGAGGAAAACACAGAAGGAACACAGAAATGAACAACTGTCTGTAAGAAAGTCAGGTCCCACATTTTACTTTGACTTTTAGGGGTGAGAGTGATTCATGTAGAACACTGTAAGGAACTTGTTTTTAATGTCTCTTTGGATTCATATTTTCACTACAGGGTTGTAAATTCAAGTACTTTGATTATGAAAAGAGTTTAACAACCAGACATTTATTTTCATTTTTTAAATACATAATGAGTCATGAATATATTTGGCACGTTTAACTTATGTCTAAGATGCTGAGTTAGCCACCAAGTGTACAAAGACAAAAATATTTCTTCCCCAAGGAAACTTGTTGGTAGAAACATAAATTTGTGCACATACATGCAAATATGCATATATATACACACATGTACTCACAATTAAAAGTAAATGACTGATAGAAAGATTATATAATGAAAACTTTATGAACTTAAGAATAAACTAAAAATAGTACTCAATTCTAGAAGTAAAATTAGGTAATTGTTAATATAAAGTGGAACAGATTGCTTTTCTCTGTTTCAGCAAGATAATTACTAGATTAAAACTGTTATACTGCAAACCAGTAGTTAAACAAACAAGATGTGCTTTCATTTATTATTTTATTTATGGAAACTATAATTTTTTATGTCTATAATATTTCTTATTGAGGTGATAACAAAAATCTCTGATGACTGCATATAACTAAAGTACAGATTGCATTTCTGTTAAATTCCAATGAGTGGTGAATCTGTTCCCACAGTAATTACAGCTTTTTTTCTCAACCCAGTAAATGTCTTCCAAGCATTTATCTTTCAAGTTAATAAATGAATGACTGAGGATAAATTATGTTTTTTTGGCATTGAACTATATTAATACACTGCTGCCTTTGAAACAGGCCATAAGAGGAATTAAATCTATGTGGTATGTTAAAAAAAAAAAGATAACTTTAAAACATCGAAATGAATGGGTCAAGTCAAAGTCAAATTGTCTTTGTAATGTATAATTCTTAATAATGATGAATTAATTTGATGTGAACAATTTCGCTATAGCAATTAAGTAATCAATATAGTCAACTCAAGAACTATTTTAAGCTTTGTATGGTAACATTTTATGTGATCTTTACAGTTTAAAAAGTACATCCACATCTTTTTCCTCATGTGAGCACACAGCCACTCTGAAAGATGTTACCTTTGTTATGCTCTTTTACAGAAGAAAACTACAGCTAATAGGACTAGTAATTAGAAGGATGAATCTCAAATTCTATATCCATTCTAATATATTATCTCTTCTCTGTGTTAAGCATCAGGGAGGGGTACAGAGCATTTCACACTATTTCTTGATAACTGACTTTTTTTCATTTTATAAAAGATCAACATCTGATTATTCATTTTGAGTATGACAATGACCTTTTGAGGCAATAACTCAAATTTCAAAAACGCTGAAACACTAATAAGAAATGCATAAGGCAACGACAGAACTAACTATAAGACAGCATTTGATCTTGGCTTTGGTTGATCAGCAGAGGAGGGATCACATTCAGCCAGGAAGATCAGGAAAGTCAGCTTGGATTCCAGAAAAACAAATTGATACGCAGAACCAAGTGAGTACCATGCATCTTAAAGGTATGGTTTTACAGAATAGTCTGAAAATTTGTTATGTTCACTTGGCCAGAGATTTTCTAGAGTTAAATAAAAGATATTACTTCCAATATCAAAAGTAAGGGTTCTCACATAACAAATATTCCTGAAATTTGTAGAGCAGACATGGTATACCAGACCAAATAATTTTTTTAAGATTGATTGATTGACTGATTTATACAAGCACTGGGTATAGTCAGAAGCGCGGGAGGGTGAGAGAATTCACCAGAGTCAGAGTGGGGAGCAGAGCAGGCAGACTCACGAAGTACACTGCTGAGGGGAGCAGCAGGCGGCAGGAGAGGTCTGCGCGCCATGTGGGACCCTCCTCTGGTGGCCGGGGAGCAGCCGGGGATCGAACCGGCGCCACAGAGGCTGTGGGCAGCTTCACAACCCAGCGCTCAACTGCTGAGCCACCGGGGAGGCCCAGACCAAATAATTTTTAATATAATATTAATCTTAAGCAAAAATCCACTTAAGTATTATAACAAAATAATTTAAAAAAAAACATAATGACCTTAAATAGGAAAGTTTAACTTTAGGAAAAGTTGTATGATTTGGAACATTTTGCACTGTATTAAGATAAACATCCAGTCCCAAATACTCATATCTCTTTGATATCAACACCAAGTCCTGAGCTTCACGATATCTTAAACAACTGGGTGGGTGACATAGAGTGGCTAAAATTGAGAAGGTCAAATGGTAAATACAAAAATCACTATTAGAAAAAAGAATGGAGTGTCAAAACCAGAGTAGCCAAGTCCATTGTGTGGTCAATAGAATTCAAGATCAGAGGTGGTAGGTAAGGGAAAAGGAGTACTAACTCAGAGGATTCAGAATCTTTCAATGCACAAATTAATTTGCCCATCACAACTTTCTCTCAGTGGGTAATGGTCATAGGTGTGGGGGCCAGTAAGCCTAGGTAAAAGATCTCCAGAATTGTAGAAAGGAATTATTATATGTAGAAGGATGATGAGGGGAATAAAACCAGCAATTTTAAGTTTAGGACTCTGTCTCTTAACCTTTACTTTAGTCTTTGTTTTAATCTAGATAATTGAGTCATCTTCTCTAAAGTATACTTTTTCTCTGTAACTCACGATTTCCCTATTCAATTTGGGTGAAATTCTTCTAGATCTAGAAAAAAAATTCTTCACTAAGTTGTATAATAACCATCTTATAGTTTTCATAGGACTTTCTATGCTAAAAATTATGTAGACATCAGAGATAAAGGGAGAATCTATGTTACTTCCATCAGGAAGACTTACATGCATTAAAAGAGAGAAAGCATGGCTTAGTTATTTGTCATATAGAGAAATCTGAAGCTAAGAAATTGATAGAAGAACATCAGGAAGTATGTAGTCTGTTTTTGTATGTGAATTAAAGGTGAAGAAAAAGAGCCTAGGTTTTGTCATTTTAAGAAACCTATAATAATTATTTTTAGTTGTTGGATCTACTAGCAATTTTCTTTCTCTGAAATAGAATCGAACTTAGCCTCATAATTTTTTTCACTGTTTTTCCCTCATCTTGCCAGACCTCTTGTTCCAGGTTTACTGTTGTTGTTGTCATTATTATTATTCTTTTAACATATTGGCAATTATGAACATGCTGTCTGCTTATTGAATGTAATACACTAATACATATTTATGTAGCGTTCATAGTTTACAAAACATTTCCCAATATAACTTCTGTTAGTCCTCATAACAAACCCCAGAGGCAACAGGCATTCTTATAAAACCTTTTATATGATAAGGAAAGGCTGACTTAACAAGTTTAAATGACCTAAATAAGTAGCCAAAACTTAGACTCAATCTCAGCACATGTGATTCTACTGATAACTAAACAGGATCTAGAATTCTGTCCTTTAACAGCTGGGCCGGAGTACAACCCTAAACTTCTGTCTTATTGTCAATGCATATACTTTATTATTTAAAGATTTAAAACACAAGCATACATCTGTTCATATAGTGACTATTATTATAATTTAAAGAATTTATAGGAGAGGTTATCTGTTTATTATATATCATTTATCAATATCCATATTAGTTAAGTTTGAAAAGATTTGTGCTGAGTCAAAATACATAAATTCACATTATAGAAAAGGCTAAGAATGGATATTGCAAAACCTTTTGTCTCTATAAACTATCTTCATTGCTATAAAATATAAACAAATAAGTTAAATGTAACATGTTTTAAGACAAATAAAATAATGGAATGATTCTGATAAAAATAATCACAATGAGCAAAAACACCAGCTTTTGAGATTGTCATGAACACATGCGAGTAAGTTAAAGAAGATACCTAAGATGAACTCATTGATTCAATATTCATTGTTTCTTGATATTTTCACAGGAGTTGAAAACCAACCACTAGTGGAAATAATTATGTTATGAGCATTAATTTCCATTCAGGCAAATTCTGTAAATGAATGCACACGCCCTGGTAATTAGAGGGAATTCAATTAATACAGACTGTATCTTTATTTGTTGAGCACTTATTATTTGCAAAACACTATACTGAGCACTTTACTACTCCAGACCCTGAAAGTTTAAAAGTAGTTATTCTAACTGTAGGGATGAGAAAAATAGAGCACAAGGTGGGTTAAGCGTTTTGACCTTGCCCAGCATCACAAGGCCAATAAATGGTGAGGATGGACAGTGAAGACAGACTGGCTAACACCAGAATTTTGTTTATAACTATCCCAGTTAGCAACATCTGCCAACAGAATTTAGATTTTAAAATTTCAAAGCATTGCTCACATAGTCATGTTGTCTAAAGGACAACATATCAGCTTTTGTGCTTTCTTCCTCAGTGAATTTTTGTCTTTTTCATTTAGGTTTAAATTTATGAATGATCTTTCTTCATCCTGCTTCTCTGAGTGAACAAGTTCTCAGTTTTATCTGATTATTTCCTTTGTTTTTGCTGCATTTTCTCCTCAGAAAGATCATTAAAAAGCACTACATATAGCCAAAAATTTACTTATGTAAATATTTATTTTTCATATACTAGTATCATCTGGCTTCCCAGATTTTTGCTAATACCATTAAAAATAAATATGCTTACATGTAAATGCACATAATTTACATGACTGAATAAACTTGACTGAAACATAATATTACCTATCTTCCTCACATCCTTAATAGTACAGTTTACCCTTCATAGACTGTTTGTTCATGGTTTATCCAAATGGCTCATGAGCAACCCAAGGTAGTAGTCATTTGCTTTTTCCCCCCAGAAGCTCAGAAGAAACAATTGGAAGAGAGTATAGAGCTGATCCAAGACGAATGTGTGTCAGAGAATGCAGATCACTCTACAGAGGAGCCTGCTGAAGGAGGGCCAGATGCCGATGGAGAAGAGATGACTGATGGGATAGAGGAGGACTTCGATGAAGATGGGGTCATGAGCTGGTAGGAACTAAACATTTGGTGTCAACACCCTTTGGTAACAACACCAGCATGTTAGCAGCTCATTCATTCTAAAATAAATATTAACTATTTGGGGCTTATTTCTTTCTCATATGCATATATTAAGGCAGCATATATTTAAGCAGAACAGTGTTTTGCACATAATAAGTGCTCAATATATTTTTGCTAACTTAAAATATGAGGAAGTAAATGAACAACAAAGATAATACAGATGAAATTAGGTATATTTAAAGTCCCAACTGAAAGATTCCCTTTCCCAAGTCATCCATCATGAAGGAATCTTGCATTTATATAGTTACAAGTGAACTATAATGGATATACTAGCAATAGAGTAGCAATGACCACTTACTGGATGATACATGGTACCCCCTCTTATTTAATAGTGTCACTTGCTGATGTCAGTTATCTGTGTAAGTTGCACAGATTTCTACAACCTGCTCAATAAGTTGACCCTTTGATATATGGCCAGTTCATCTAAGTGCCTATGTCAATTGATAATCAATTTTTATGACTTGGTGAATTAGACAAAACTTGATTCTTTACATGGTTTATTTTCCCACTGTTATAATCATTACACTGCTCATTTCCAGATACATAACTATCAAGGGACTGGATAAATATATTCTGATGATGATGCTATTTCTCATATTTTATCAACCATATAATTAAATACACTATCTTAAAGGAATTGACTAATAAAAATGATGACTTGATGTATGTGTGTGCATGTGTGTGTTGCCAGCTCTTAAATATCTGTGGATTGATCTATTAAATTTGAATCATCCCAAATAATATTGGGGTCTAGTTTGTTACAGAACCTATTAACTAATTTTATCACGCTGTTAATTGTTTGTCATGGCAATTACTCTAGAATAATTTATTTAGGGAACTCTATATTGATTTTTAACATTCCAAATCTGTTTCAATAACATGACACCTTAATTTATGCTTTTTAAATGAGTCCTTAACAACTATCCTAATTTTTACAAATGTGCACCGGTTTGAAGGACTTGAGTACCTGTTTTTAGAATTCTTTTGATTTCTGGAATATATTGTACAGAGACTAGAATAAAGAACTAACAAGTTTCTCATCTTCTTCTTAACTGGGACTTTAATTTGGAAACATAATTTCCTCAACCCACTCTAATCAGACTTCTGTTGTCATCATCCTATTGGTATCAATCTTATCAGTAACTCCGGAGGCCTCTATGTTGCCTTTTCCAACAGCTGTCTCTCTGTTCCTATTTAATTTACTTATAAGCATAAATTGGATAAGACACTTGCCATTTTCTCATTCTCATTTGCTTCTATACCCCCACTATAAATATTGGAGTAGCCTAATGTTTTGTCATAGATAACCTTATCTTTTTACACACTTTCCCAAGGTGACTTCATCAAATACCAGAGCTTTAAATATTATTAATAGGCCAAAGATTCCTAAATCTTTATTTCTATTCCTGGTATCTTCCTAGAATTGTTGACTCAAGTATCCAGGCTTATCTCTTCAAATATCTCCAAAAAGCAATTGTAATGTAACATGCCAGAAGACTTCTTTTCCCACTCACCTTATTCTTTCCATTCTTTCCATCACTATTCATACAACTGTTAAAACTAAAATGACTAGAATTATCTTTGACCTCCTTCACCCTTCCCCATTAATTCTACCACCAAATCATAAACTAAATCTAGTTATATCTTTCTTACAGCTAAGCTGATTTTCTTGCTTCAACCAGTGTAATTCCCTGGTGTGGAGTCTACCTTTTGTCATTTCTGGATCAGGTGAACCAAATCAACCTTAGTTCCCAAATTGGAAAGTAAAAGTATAAGTCTTCCTTTTTGGCATAATGAGGGACATTAATGATTACAGATGCAACAGGATACACTATAACTAGGTTTTTTAGAACACACAAAAGAGTCAAAAAGAACTGCCCATTCTGCCGCTCAAAGAAAAATCTGGAATACCTTTCAAAAAAATGAATTAGAAAACAATAATTATATCTGAAGCAAGAGAGACATAGCAAAATAAGCTAGTGGGACAATTAGCTCATTTCTGGATCAGGTAAACCAAATAAATCTGGGCTCCCAAGTTGCAAAGTAAAGGCATAAATCTTCCTTTTTGTTCCTTGTAAAGCATGAGAAGTTACAGGTATAAGCACTGACTGTCCATACTTTGTCTAGTTCTAAATATTGAGTTAGCAAAATTTATTTCCATGAAACAATCCATTCAACTAACATTAGGTGTCTATTATGTGTGACCAAGGTGCTATGATTAAAATGTACAGATAATTAAAACTATTGCTCTATCTGTGAAATGAAACAGATAAATGGTTTTTTCTCTCAAGTAACTAAGTATCTTAGACATAGACTGATTTCTTCAGCAAAAACCAGATCTGTACTTTATAATTTGTATGAAACCATCCAAGACTAAACATCTGTGTTCTATGGTAGTCTATATATTTCACTAGTGCATGGAAATTAATATTTGAGCCTATTTAAAATTAAGCTTTGTATTAAAATTCTGACAATATACTTCAAAGCACTGTCATACCTCTTTTCTGAATCAATCCAATAGCAAATATTGTTGATTGAGCACTAATGAATAGCACTGAGAATTTTGCTGTGGCAATGAAGAAAAAAATATATTTCTTCTTTCAACAAGACTATAAATTAACTGAGGATGAAGACTACAGACAAAAAATACAAAACAGTATATTACGATAAGAACCATATAAAAGATAGAGCAGTGGAAAATCACAGATATAACTGGGGTGCTGCATAAAGCATCTTTATAGCAGTTGGGTTATAACATTACCTCAAAGGATGTCAAATTAAAGAAGCAGCATGTACTAAGGTGGAAAAAGTCTTGTTCACATCATCCCTATTGTTCCCAAGCTATTATAGGGGAAATGTATTTAATATCCAATATATACTAGCTATTCATATGATAGATAGGTATGTGGGTGAAGAGAGAGAGTAATTTATTTAATAAAACTATGTTTCTCTATTTTCATGTCCACCAAAGTTGCAATCTACTTTTGTATAAAAGAAAATAATCAAAAATAAGAGTAGTCTGCACCATAATGAAAATACTATGGCACAAGGGCTTAAGTCTCAGTGCTATGAAGCTATCAGCAGCCACTGCAGCAAGAGTTCGATCCCCGGTGAGGGAGCTAACCCATGTGGCACAGCAGACCTCTCCTGTCTCGCCTGCTGCTCCCCCCAGCAATGTATTTCAGTAGATCCACCTGTTCTGCTCCCTACTCTATTTCTGGTGAATCCTCTCACCCGCTCCCCCCACACCTCTGGCCTACACTCCATTGTTTTATGCATAAATAAATTTAAAAAAAAAAGAAAAGCAAATGTTTGGTGCCTAATTCAAAAGGGTAAGTGAACTACCCAAACTATATAAGAAACGATAAATAAGAAACAGCTTCTGTGTATACTTGGGACATTTCAAGGCCATCAGGTATGTTATAGGGTCTTACAAAGGCTAATTCAGCATTTTTCAAAGCAAAACTCTTGATCAACTTGCATCCAAATATCTAAGGTACTTTGCTTAAAAAATATATTGATAGGGATTTTCTGAGGGAGAATTCAGGAAACTGTAGTTTTATCGAAACAGATTTCCCAAAGGAAACCATAGACAAGCCAAACATTTAAATGGATTGAGAATTTGAGCTATTTTGAATTCTACTTGTAATTGCTTTGCTGACTACATACAATCGAATCTGGCAAATCTAGTAAGAATCCACAATTGAATTACCTAGCTGGATTGTATAATACTTAGGCATGCAAGTACTGTTAAGTACTGGGCTGTAGGTAATACATCCTGTAGCATTTAACAAAACATTCAACTAAGCAGTAAGTCACCTGGGCTTACAAACTATTGAATTTCTGTGCCCACTGGGGAAGGTCTGGACCACAAATCCAACCCTGTAGCTGAGAAGAACTCAAAGCAAGCATTCTGTTACACCATTGAAAAACTGGAATGCAAGGAACATTCTGAAACACATTGTTTCTTCCTAATGAAATCATTCACCTCTGTTTCCCTCCCCTCTTATCAGCCATGTTTCTATCGCTTTATTTTCATCATTTGTGTTCAGTGCTACCTAGAGGACAGATAAGAACATGGAGACTCCTGCCTTAAGGTCATTCTAGCTGAATCTGTTGGAGGTATAAATCACAAGGAAACAAGAGAAGTGTTTACTTAATCTGATTGATGTGGACCTGTATTTCAGTGAAGTATTCAAGGAACTTCATCTTATATCTGTCATTTCATCATATCCCTATCCTCCTGAGAATAGATACTGAGAGCATACATAAAGCCTCCACCCATAATTTAGGTGGTGTTAGAGACAGGGTGAATAGGCAGTCCTACCAGTGACCTGGCCTGTGTGACGCTGTTGAGGCACAAAATGACTAGGGCCACAACAGCTAATTTCCAGTTTTCTCAACAAAAATGAAATATGGCTAAGCGTTTGATGTAAGACAAAGGGTGTGACTGGTGGACAAAGTCTGCCCTGACTTTGCATCCGAGAGTCCCTGCTCTTTAGGAACTTGCTACTTATAGTTTACTTCAGACTTTTTCTTCTTGGCATATCTCTTGATTTCCATAATTTTTAGTGTAGCTAAAGAACTCTGCCTAGTCCATTAATGTAAAACTTAATGTCATGGTTGTCAAAAACATGAGCTTTGTCTGTAGTCTGATGAAATAATTCAAGTCTCCATGACTTTGTGCAAGCTACTTACCTGTGTCCTCACTGGCCTCAGTTTTTCCATCTGTCAAAAGGGTTTAATAATCCAACCAAGGGTTGTTGTGAGGAGTTAATGAGGGAATGTCTAAAAAGCACGTGTCTGGTACAGATATTCAATTTTAAATTTGCTAAGTGTGTTTATATTGTAGGGTATTTCTGTCCTTGTATATATTTTCTATTTAATTGTCCCATTTGACTTCATGTGATTTTGTTAGCCCTAATTTTCCC